GACGTCAGGTTAAACAGCCATTTCTTTCAACCTCCTAAACAGGGATGTGTTTTCCAAGAAAGAAATATATTATATCATGAAAAGATATATTTTTAATGCATCTATGTATATTAAAAATTTATCAAATAATTCGATGAGCTATTTTGATACCTTGTGAAATAGCAACTAATATATGAAAATAACTACAATGTTTTCAATTGTCTTCAGATCCAACAGAGGATCATGTCATGAAAAATTGGGAAGTTCAGTGACAGTAATGAATTTTCCCCTGGAAAATAGAACTGCAACCTAAGGTATATGCAATCCAATCATGATGATGATTACATTAATGATGTTTGTAATCAGAAAGCTTTTATAAGCAGTAGCAAATCTTTCGGTTATATACCAATCAAAGATGGTGTTGTTTGATGCATAATTTAATGATTTCAAAACAATGATAACGAAAGAAGTCAAGATCAACATATGCGTATCGATCAACAATAAGAATCCAACACAAGAGCTGATCAACATGAAGAATAAGATGACTAGGAACAAATCAAGTACTCACAGTCTGAATGGTCGACCTGCGAAGAACAAGCCAAAAGAAAGCTTTGACTGGGAAAATTTTAAAAGCCAAGCAGAAAATAATTGCTCGAAAAGAAATAAAACAAAAACAACAGTGTACATGGTTGATTGGGATGCACTACAATGTATACTTAAACAAGATCTTTAATATAATAAGAAAGCGTGGGATTAACATCAAGCTTGCCCATATAATCAATGCATTCTTAAAAAAATTAGTTAAAGACCACAAAGAGATTGATTTAGAGTGGCTATGAGATGTTCTGCCTAACAGAGCCAAAGAGTATCAAGTGAGCATATATGGATTAGGATTGAAAAGTATGAAGTACGTTAGATTTTATCAGTATATCAGATTGCATTCCATGTTGACACCAATGTCCTACGAATAATTGTAAGACTCAAATGAGTTACCTCACAGACAATATTCAGTGAGCTGTAAATGCATCTTCTAGAGTTGTACCCAATTTCGGAATATGTTTAAAATATATATCTAGCTAGGTCTCTGCAAACGTGACCAAAAATCTTTATACGAATTGCATTACATTATGATTACATTTGGAAAGGTATTTTTTATGAAACAAAACCGAATTGCAAAGCAAGTTCAATGAAAGTGAAGTGTTGTTATACTTGGGCACTTGAAAGTGCATTACATATCAGACGAAAAAAGACTGTAATAATATATCATAGGAGATCTAACTCCAATTCTGTTATAATCAATTTCTGCAAGTATTAATTTCTTGCTCAAGACAAAAAGCAAGAAGAATCGAAAAGATATCAAGGATGTGAACCTATTATCGATGAACCAGTAACACCAGAAATAATGTATGCTAATATTAAAGACTTTTTGATCCTTGAAAAATAATGATTTAATTCCTTCCATTCCACTTATTAGGAAACTTATATATCTAAGGAGTTGGTGCTAGTAAGCTAAAATTCTAAAATTCATAGAGGATCTGCATACCGAGCATTACATATATGAACTCCTATACAACCATCACATTCTGGAAGGGTTTGAGAGGCGAAAACACTAAGATATGTTTCCTACTTGTTCATTATTTGGACATCAGGTGAAACAGCCTATTCGATTCAACCACCCAAATAAAGATATACTTTCCAAATCAATATACATTGAGAAAATTATCAAGTAATTCAAAGAGCTATTTTGATACCTTATAGAATAAAAATTAATTTATGTAAATAGTTACAAAGATTATTAATTTTCTTCAGAACCAACAGAGGATCGTGTCATGAAAAGTGGGGAAGTTCAGTAACAATAATGAATTTGCCCCTGGAAAATGCAACTTCAACTTGAGGAATATGCAAACCAAACATCATCATATATGAGATTGATGATGATGATTACATTAATGATGTTTGTAATCAGGAAAATTCTACAAGTAGTGAAAAATCTTTTACTTTTATCAACCAATCAACAATAGTGCTGTTTGAGGCAAACTTTGATGATTTCAAAAACAATTTTGATGAAGGTCGTCGAGATAAAAAAAATGCCTATCTATCAATAATAAGAATCCAACACAAGAGCATATATACCAATATTAAGAATAGGAAAACTAGGAACAAGCTAAGTACACACATTCTGAATGGTCGGGCTGCAAAGACCAAGCCAAAAGAAAGCTTTGACTGGGACAATTTGAAAAGGCTAGCAGAAACTATTTTGCAAAAAAGAAAGAGAACATAAACAATAATGGACATATGGTTGATTGGTATGCCCTACAGTGTTTAAATGTAAACATATTTTTTGATATAATAAAGAAGGTGTGAGATCAACATCAAGCTTGCCCGTAGAATCAAGAGTTTTTTAAACTAATTGGTTCAAGACCACAAATAGATTGAATTAGAGTGGCTAAGAGATGTTCCGGCTAACACAACCAATGAGTATTTAGTGAGCATCTACAAATTATGATTGAAAAGTATGGAGTGTGTTCGATTTGTCACTACATCAGATTGAGTTCCCTGTTGACACCAATGCTAGGCGAATAACTATATGAGTTACCTCACTAATATTATCCGATGAACTATAAATGCATCTTCTAGAGCTGTATCTACTTTCAGAATATATTCAAAAATATGTCTGGCCAGATCTCTGCAAATGTGACAAAAAAAACTTTATACAAATCACACTACATTATGGTTACATTTGGAAAGATATTTTTCATGAAATCAAAACCGAATTGTAAAGCATGTCCAATGAAGATGGAGTGTCATTATTATGCTAGTGCACGTGAAACTTCATTGCATGCTCTACCAAAATCAGAAGAGAGAGGGACTGCAATAGTCCATTATAAGAAATTTAACCCCAATTGTTGTTTATAGTCAATTTCCGCCAATATTAGTTTTGTAACATCCCAAAACCAGCCTAACTAGAGCAGGCCCAGCAAAACAAGGCCCACTCCAGAAACCCTAACATAAATAGGGAATTAGGAGTTAATGAGCCTCATTCTGCCTCTAATTACCCTAGCCCCCAAAGAAAAGAAAGTGAGAGAGAGAAGGAGAAGCTGCACGCCGCCGCCGCCGCCGGAGAAGGGTGCCGCCGCCGCCGCTTGCCGAGAGAAGAAGGAGCACTCGCCTGCCTCCACCTTCTCAGAAGTTGCTTGATTCTTTTGCCTCTTCTAGTTCTCCTTAATCTCAGATCTGCTTTTAGGCCAAGGTGAGGATTAGATCTAGGTCTTTCTTCTTATCCCTTTATCTTCTTCTGGTGTGTTGAGTCTAGATCTGGTGGGACAGATCTGTCTTCTTGTGCATCTAGGCAGATCCATATATATATATATATATATATATATATAACTAATAAGATCTAGGATCTCATTAGAGAAAGAACCAGCATGATTGATTGATAACCATGTTGATTGGTTAGTGATTGGTAGAAATCCTAAAGGTCATAGTCTGTTTCTGGTATAGTGATGTGCAGAATGCAGGCTTGTTTGCTGGGTTATGTGCCGTCTGTGTGACCGTGGCAATAATCCATTCATCCGGTGGAGTGATGACTCACGGGGCTGTCCATGTGGCATGCCGGGATTGGACTGTCTGTGTGACAGGGTCTCTGTCTGTGTGACAGGGCGTCTGTCTGTGTGACAGGGTGAGATGTCGACCTGTGTCCGAGTGACAAGGTGGTTTGGCCTATTGAGAGGCGGGATTGGAGACATCACTGCTTGTTAGTTGCTTGTGCACTTGTAGAGTGCTTGTTTGGTTTCATTAGATTTATTCTTGATATGTTGGTGGAAATAAATGAATAAGGCGGGAACCTGGTTTGGTTCTCACTGAGTAATTCTCCCAAATTACTCATCCCTCTCTCTCTAAATTCCGATATGCAAGTGATTGTGATTGTGAGTGTGATTGTGATGATGTCTGGGAAGAACTAGACGAGTAATTCTAGTGTGGTGTGCCTTCAGAAATGGAGGAAGTTTTATTGTTTTTAAGAACTATTTCACCTTTTTCCTTAAGACAATGTTTCTATTTATTTCGGATTTACTAAGTTATTTCATTTCTATTGTAAGACTTGGATTTGGGTTGAATTTGAATAAAGAACAACAAGTTATTTAGAATTGGTTTAGTTTAGGTTAGTTAATATCCCGGTTTATTCTGGTTTCCTCCGGAACCAGGGATCGGGGTGTTACAATTTGGTATCAGAGCCGACACCCAACCACGTGTGTGGAGTCGTCATGTGGCCTCACACCGTAACAGGGTGAACGATCCTGGTACAAGCACTGTGGGGGTAAAGGGAGAATTCGGGGACGAATTCCTTGGAAATCGGAGAGAATTGTAACATCCCGATTTCCGGGTAGTCGGAAAGGCTTATAAGAATTGATTTGGCTACCTATGTCAACAAAGTGCACTTATCTTTTCCGGTCAAGTGTGCTGAGAGAACTCCAGAGTTAAGCGTGCTGATGCTGGAGTAGTCTCAGGATGGGTGACCTACCGGGAAGTACTCTGCGGTACCGTGCGAGTGAGGACAAAGCACGGGGAAAGATCATGTGGTGATTGCAGGGAAAGTAGACAAGTCTTACAAGCCTTCCGGACTAACGACTCCCGACCGTCAGACAGTGGTGGGCCAACAGGCCTAGAGAGGGCGTTGGGCCAACGGGCCTAGAGAGAGGACGTTGGGCCCACGTGCCTAGAGAGGGCGTTGGGCTCACTAGGAGGAGCGGTTGGGGGGAGTTAGGATTGATATCGCCGGTCCGCGTCCGGTTCCTAAAGGGAGGACGGGTCGGGATGTCACAAGTGGTATCAGAGCATGGTTCGAACTAGGTATTAAGAGAGCTAAGTCTAGAATAGTGGAAATGGGATTCGGATTTCAAAAAAAAAATGGTTTAAAAGGTTTTAAAAGTTTTCAAGTTTTTTTTTTTTTTCAAATGTTTTCAAAGAAAGAAAACCACCACCTAGACTAGCCTCTTTAGTTTTGTTGTTCTTTTCTTTTGCAGGAAGTTAGTCTTTACGGGACCAGACTAACTTATCTGTCTCCATGTCATGTCAGATGCCTCCGAGGGCAAAGAATGTGCGCACCAGATCCTAAGCTCGTCGTTCAGGTGGTGCTGATGAGGCCTCAGGCACATCTGGAAGTGTTGCCCCTGTGCCTCCAGCTCCAGTGGATCAGCAGGGAGAGAACCTTGCGGGAGGTGTGCCTGTTCAAGTGCCTCCAGCAGCGGGAGCTGCTCATGCTGCAGTCCTGGAGGAATTGCGCCGTTATCGGGAGATGTATGGCCACTGGAACCCTGGAGTGGGAGTGAATGCTCAGCAGGAGCAGCAGCAGCCGCAGCATCAGGAGCAGCAGAATGTGCAGCCGCCAGTGTTTGAGCCGCCGCCTATGGTAGTGCCGCCAGTGTATGTTCAGCAGCAGTATGTGCCTCCACCGCCTCCTGCGCCTGTCAATGTGTTTGGACTGACCTATTATCAGGCCATGAAACACTTGAAGGATATGGGAATGGAAGCCTTTGGCGGGAGGTCTGACCCAGTGTCTGCGGATAACTGGAGGAAAAGGTTGGAGAGGAATTTTGAAGCCATGAGATGTCCGGAGGGATACCGGAAGGATCTAGCTGTTCAGTACCTGAAGGAAGAGGCGCTGATATGGTGGGATGGTGTGGTCGAAGCGACTCAAGGTCGTTATGAGTTGACCTACCGGGAATTCCAGGAAGCTTTTGCTAAGGAGTATTTTCCACCTGAAGCTTTGGATCAGATGGAGAGTGCCTTTGAA